ATTTCCTTATTACAAGTTTTTTTTTAGAAAGGCATACACTGTCATAACGGGGTTGCCGCATAGCTCTGCCTCGAAATTCAAATCGCGGCACCCAAATGTCGTCTCTTGACGAACTGCAAGCATTTTGCCCGCCTTGCTGTTTCATGCCTAGATCTGGGCGCTTCGTGCCAATTTACAATCCACACGTCTCAGCTATGCCGAGCATCGACCGTGTGCTCTAGGCCTAGCTATATCCATACCCCCTGTTGTTTTGATGTTGCCTCATTGTACTGTTTCCTCGCTACTCAATCGTTCGACACACGCTCTTTGCACTTCATTACAAGAAGGAACAAAGGTTGGTACTATGGGGTATAGTATGCTTTTGTTAAAAATCAATATTGACAAAAGATAGCTATAGTTTATTTGGAGTGTGAATACTAGGGTAAGGAAATCATATTTCCCAATAGTTTAGATTGAATCAACGTGTACACTACCATAACGACGTTTTTGTGCTATTGTGCCGTGTTAATCCAGATTGTGCCACCCGAAAATGTCACAAATCCGAGTTGCATGCATGTTGTGCGCCTAGCAAGTTTCATGCTTGTCGAGTGCGCTCTGAGCCTAGTCTCATTTTGTCAAGATGATAGAAGCAAGTGACTCAAGCAAGGAGAACACAGAGGTTGTATCTAGGTGTTGTACCCTATTATCTGCACATAACTATGGTACACAGCCGCTAACCACTGTGCTACAAGGGCTAGTTAACGGGATAGCGTGCCCATAACCCCCCAGGCATAGCAGCCTGTGGCCCTTCCGATGATCTTCTAGGGTGAACCCAGTGGATCTCTCGACACCCCCCCTCCTGGAGTAGGCGGAGGACTCGACACTTCTGCAGTGCACACTGGGATTCGAACCCGAGACCTCTGGCTCTAATACCAAGTTACGAGGAGAAAATTTTGATTGGTACATGGCAACCACAAAGAGAATCTATCTAGGTTTTGTACCCTATATAAACTATACCTAGCTAGATTATACTTCATATATTCCTAACACATACACATATATATACAAACTCTAATACACCCCTTAACTTGGGTAGGGACAGAGCCTAACAGGATACAACAATTGAGGGTAGCACTATTTGTCTGGCCTCTGGAGTACGTAACAAACAGCTTAGGGCAATGCTACTAGTCTGACCACTAAGACAAGGGCCAGAAGGCCAATCAGCAAGTGTAACAAGACAACCTGTATAGAGTAGTAAGTAAAAAGTCGGTATAGCACAGATCAGGATACAAGACCGAGCTGAGTGCAGAACCGGAGCTGGAACTGGAAGTAAATGGCAACTGGAACTAGACCAACATGGGTGCAAGACCACTGATGGTCACGAGGCCCAAGGGCCTTGGTGAAGATATCAACAGTGTTGGTTTCTGAGGCCAACTGTACTACATGAGCCTGGCCGCGCCGCTGAAACTCACACAGCAGGAAGCACCGAAGCTGGATGTGCTTGGCCTTGCCCTCAAGTCGAGCCTCCTGGCGCAAGAGGATCATGGCCCTGTTATTAGCAAATAGGTTCGGGGCAAACCAAATGGAGCCACTCCAAATAGGCGTTACAAATGGAGCCGCTCTCAAATAGGCTCCATTGGTTGACGCTCCATTGGTTGGCCGCTCACCTAAGTCTGTGAGCAAGAGCGTCAACCAATGGAGCTCCTGAGCAGCCATAGCACCAGTATAGATCTCTGCCTCACAATTGGACTGAGCTGAAGACGATGACCTAGTGGACCGCCACAAGACTGCACCCGCACCAAGACTAAAGCACCCATGTGAGGACCTGAGTGTCTCCAAGTCATCAGCCCACGACGCGTCTGTATGTCCAGTGAGGACCACTGGCTCTCGCCCTCCCAGCACAAGCCCCAGTCCTAATGTACCCGCCAGATACCACAGCACCCTCTTGGCAATCGAACAGTGCTCTGGTCGGTGTCTACCAATCGCAATAAAGTGAGCAACGATATTGAGAGGGTACGCTAGATCTGGGCGAGTGCACATCATCAGGTACATGAGGCGCTCCACCAGCTCTGCGTATGGACTACTAGGTTCGACCTGCTCACCGAAAACAAGAGCTGAGAGCTTGGGATGGGGGAGTGGGAGTGGGAGTGGGATGTGCCGACGAGAATTGAAAACCGAGCCTCTGGAGGATCTGTTGCGTCATATGACATTGGGAGAGTGTGATCGTACTCGTTGCACGGTCACAAGAGATCTCCAAGTTTAGATAGCATTGCAACTCTCCCAGGTCTGTATAGGCATGTTGCCTGAGAAGCTCGGCCTTCACCAAGGCCAGTGCGACTCTATCTGGAGTAGTAAAGATAAGGTTGTCTACGTACACAAGTATGTAGAACGAAGTCTGACCAACGCGAACAAAGAGCAAGGGGTCAGCAGAGAACGAGAAGAAGTGGAGAGCCGCGCGTAGAGCATGTCGTGCCACTCACGGGGAGCCTGGTGCAGACCGTAGACAAGGCAGCGTAGACACCATTTGGTCCTAGGAGTGAAGGACCCAATGAAGCATGGTGGGCGCCGCAGGAAGATCTGCTTATGTGGACTGCCCTGCAAGAAGGTTGTGGAGAAGTCCAGAGAGTGGAGCTCGTAGTCACGCTGTGGGACAATCTAGAGAAGCACCCAAAGAGTAGTCGTCTTTGGGGTAAGGGGGAAGGTCTGGAAGAAGTTCACACCCTCTCGCTGGCTGAAGCTTCTAGCCAAATGCTGCGGTTTGAACTGCGGTGGCTCTCCAGGTGGGCGCATCACGTTATAAGTCCACATGCCATCGATTATGTTCGCCCCAGGTGGAGGAACTGCGTCGACGTAAGTGCCATTGGATCTATAAGATGCCATCTCTACCTCCATGGCCTGTATCCACTGGGCTGTCCAAGGCCCCGAGACTGCCTCGGTGTACAAGCACGGAATACGGATGTCTAGGGTGTCCAGGTTACGCTCAGGGGACACAAGCATGGCGTAGAGATGAGGTACAGCAGCCGTAAGGAGAGCTAGCTCGTACTGCCTATCCTCTAGAACGTCATTGCCAAGGGCAGGTGCACCCCCGACGGACGGAGAATAGGCAGGGTTAGAGATCGAAGCGGAGGCGTAAACAAGGCGGTGGCTTGCAGCAAAGTTAGCGACGACAACGGCGAGGGCGTGGGGGAAGAGAGGGGGGGCCGTGGGGGAAGAGAGGGGGCGCCGTGTGGGAAGAGAGGGGAAGCCGTGGGAGAAGAGAGGGGAAGCCGTAGGGGAAGAGAGGGGAAGCCATAGGGGAAGAGAGGGGGCATGTGTGTCATTAGAGAGGGAGTTGTGAGGAAAGGGAAAGGGCACGAATTCGCTTCCCCAAGGGCCGTGAGGGGGGCAGGGTGGTTCGCCCAAGAATTTTGCGTCCGAAGAGGGTGGATGAAGGGGGGGCAGGGGGTGATGTGCGGCAGGGACGCTCGAAATATGATGCAGGGTTTGCGGGGCACGTGCGGTGTCTGTTGTGCGACTCGTCCTACCCCTGGTGATTACGACTGTAGTGTGCCACACATTCCCCCTTGCCTTCGGCGCGATTCCTCCATTCGCGCATTCCGCGTCCAATATCACAGTACCGTGTGCCCCAAGCGATCTTCACTTTTTTTGTAGGCGGAATCCGTCGCGCTCGCCACATTCTCTCCCACGCTTTCGACCAGGGTATCACGGTAGTCACCGTCAAACTAAGTTTGGTTCTAGCCAAGGTGCTAAAGGCACCATATTGTTAAACCTGTTAGGGTTCGCTTTGCACGATCCGTCACGATGTTGTATCCTGCCTCGCCCTTGGCGCAGTGGCTGGCGTGGGCAAGCTTAGAGGCCAAGTTCTGCAGGCATTTGACGTTGACGTCGACGTCGACGTTGAGGAAGCCAGAGAGCGACTTCGAGAGCACTGGTTACCACCCAAACCAGGTGCACTTTCCCAACCTCGCTTGGAAGCCACGCGGCCAAATTGTGGAAAGCGCAAGCGAAAGGAGAGAGGAGAGATTTTCAAAATTGTGCAACACAAAACTGCTGCCCCATGGCAGCAGAGATATATTAGGGGGCAAAATGACGAAAAAATAGCCTACGGTTTGGTGAGTTGGTGATGGGTTTGTTCGGCTGCTGTTTTGTTTGTAGGGCAAGCCCAAGTTCGCAAGGTGGGGTAAAGTGGTGGCGGTTGTATTTTTGGGGTGTGGAGGCCTAGTACACCCTTGCGCCTGATGTAACGCCGGACGCAAGGTGAACGCCGCGATTGAGAGAACATCAGGGCTGCGTTCTGCAGGCAGAAAAGGAAAGTGCAGATTACATCAGAGCACCTTCCGAAAGCCTGATTTTTTGCTTCGGATCGAGGGTCAGCCCGCGAAATTTGGTCCAAACCTGGCACAAGGTACCCGAACCTAGTTACATCAACATGCCTGCAGAACAGGTCCATGTACAGATGACATCTACGTCAGGGAAACACCCCCCTCGCTTCCCTCCCTGACAAATTTGACGCAAAGGTGACGCAATGCTGACGTTCGCTAAATCGCGGAGTTCACCTTGCGTGTGGCGTTACATCAGCCTCAATTTGGCTCCTCTCTCCTTTCGCTCGCGCTTTCGACAGTTTGGCGCGTTGCTTCCAAGAGAGGTTTGGAAAGTGCACCTGGTTTGAGTGGTAACCAGTGCTCTAGAAGTCGCTTGAGGAGCTTCCTCAATGTCGACGTCGACGTCGACGTCAAATGCCTGTAGAACACAGCCCAGCGTTGCATCACGTTTGCGTCAAATTTGCCAGGGAGGGAAGCGAGGGGGGTGTTTCCCTGACGTAGATGTAATCTGTAGATGGAGCTGTTATGCAGGCATGTCGATGTAACCAGGTTCGGGGACGTTGTGCCAGGTTTGGATGAAAATTTGCGGGCTGACCCTTGATCCGAAGCAAAATCTCTCGCTTTCGGAAGGTGCTCTTATGTAAACTGCACTTTCCTTTTCTGCGTGTTGGGGCTCCAGGTCCATTTCCTCCTCCGCGGTTGTCTTTTCGCGATTTTGAAAACCTGCGCCTTGCGTCAGTGGAAACAGGAGCCGACTGTTTCAAGCTGCACTTCCTTCTCACCCTCTCCCTTTCCTAGCGTCACACCACCCCCTCCTCTCCTCCTCCCGCGCCGATGGTGAAGGACGCGCGCGCGCCGGGCTTTCGCGAGAAGTGGCGGCAGGACGTGCCGGTGCTGTACGACTGGTTCTTCAACCACCACCTCATGTGGCCCTCGCTCTCCTGCCGGTGCGCTCCCCGCCCGCCCCCTCTCGTCTTCGCGCTCTCCGCTGCCCCTCCATCACCCTCTCCTGCATTCCGCCCTCGTCCGCGCTCCGCGCGCCTGCGCCGTCGGCGCGGAGATCGACGGCTGTCGGCGAGCCCCGTGCGCCGCTGGGGTGCCTCTCATCGCGGGAGTGCCGCCGTGCCCTTGTGTCTCCGCATTCCCTCTCGCGTTCCCTCCCGCTCGCCTCTTCGTCTCCCCTCCCCTCCACTTCGCCTCCCCCCCGCTTCCCCCTCCCTCGCCCCCGCAAGCCTGACGGCATGACGGTCGTGTGGTTGGTGCGGCTGTGCGTGCAGGTGGGGCCCGGTGCGCGCGGAGCACGGCGCGTACAGCGAGCAGTACGCGTACATCAGCGAGCAGACCGACGGCACCGCGCCCAACACGCTGCTCCTCGCCAACGTCGCGGTAAAAGGGGGAATGGGATGGGGGGGAGGATCATGTTGCGGGACAGGCGGAGCATGCGATCCAAGGGCGATGTGCGGGAGAGAAAGAGGGAGGGGCTGCGGTGAAGGGGTGTGAGAGGGGAAACGGGATGCGGGGATGGCATTTGACGAGGGGAAGTGACGCTGTGACGCTGTGACGCTGTGACGCTGTGACGCAGGGACATGGACGCTCAGCGGCAGGCATGGCGGCCACGGCGCGCTCGCCGTGCTCTACCTGCAGCCCCATCGCACCATCACTGCCTCCTCCTTCCATCACCATGCCCTTCCCTCGTTCTTGCACCCCCCGATCCCCCCCATCCCGCCCATCACACGTGTGTGCGTTCCACTCTCGCCTCGTGCTGCCGTGTGGGGCTGGGCGCACACGCAGGGTGCAGTGGCATGTGCTGTGGCATGTGCAGTGGCATGTGCTGTGGCGGTGCACTGTTGGCACGGCGAGGGGCGGGGGAAGGGCAATCAGCGCATTGTGAGGGAGAGGAGGGGAATGAGCACCCTTTAGTCCCGCTCTTGCGCGCACCCATGCTTGTGCCTCTCCTCGACCTCTCACTGGCAAGCACGTGCTGCTGCTCGCCCACCCTTGCACACACGCCCACACACGCCATCTCCTTCCTCCCTTCCTCCCTCCCCCCCCGCAGGTGGCGGAGTGTGACGCGGTGGCGCCGGCGCTGCTGGCGGACTTTGAGGAGGACGACCCAACAGCGCTGGTGGGCGTGGTGAAGGCGGTGCACCACCCTGGCGAGGTGAACCGCATCCGCGAGCTGCCGCAGTTCCCGCAGATCCTCGCCACGCACACGGACGGCAAGGACGTCTTCATCTGGAACATGGAGTCGCAGGACGACCGCCGCACGCCCGCACCGCACACCACGGGAGATGCTGCTGACAAGCCGTCCGTGCCTGACCTGGTGGGCGCACGTTGGGGGGGCTGCGAGGCAGTGCGCCGAGATACAATGCCAATCTCCCATTGTACCTTTTGTTCCTCCTCCCTCGCATTGCCACTGCACACTCCCTCGCTCGCAATGCTGCTGTGCTGCCCACGGCACACTCCTCGTCACTCACCCTCCGCTCTCCCCTGCCGCTCGCCCTCGTGCGTGTGCTGCCCTCCCCAGGTGCTGCGCGGCCACACGGATGTGGCGCAGTTTGCACTGGCCACGGCGGCCAGCGACCCCTTTGTGCTGAGCGGCGGCACGGACTGCCACGTCGTGCTGTGGGGGCTGCAGGACCACGTCTCCAAGGCCAGCACGGTGGGGGGGGGGGGGGGAAGGGGATGCAGGGTTTGTGAGTGGGTGGGTGAAGGGAAGTGCATGTGCTGCTCTGCGAGTGAGAGGGCACCGGCACAATTGGCGCGGCACCACGGAGAAATTCTGGACGGCCTGCGGTGTCGCGCCTCTCAACCCATCCTCTCCTACAAACCTTTTCTCCTCTCCTCCTTTTCCCTTCCCCCCCCGCCCCCCTTCTCCCCCTTTACCCCCCATCCCCTGGCGTGTGCGGGCGTGCGGCAGCAGGACGATTCGTCGGAGCTGGCGGCGCCGGTGCTGCACTGCCGGGAGACGTTCACGGGGCACCGCGCGACGGTGGAGGACGTGCAGTTCAGCCCCACAGACGCACGCCTCTTCTGCTCCGTGGGCGACGACTACTGCCTGCTGCTCTGGGACACGCGCCACGGCACCACGCCCGTCAACAAGGCACGCCGCGGGGCGGGCTGGGGGCACCTGGGCCTGGGTGGGGCCACCTGGGGCTGGGTGGGCGGCTGGTTTTGGGGAGGGAAGGAGCAGGAGTGAGAGTGATGGCTTTGTTTTGCTGCACGGCTGTGTGTTGTCAGGGGACTTGGTGTGCTGGCTGCCTGCTGGTGACTACATAGCACGGCAGCATGCCTGTCTCTGAGCTAGCACGTCTAGCTCTCGCTTTCGCCTCGTTCTCTCTTGCACCCCTTGCCTCCTGCTTCTCCCGCCTCCATCCTCTGTGCCAGCCACCACGGCAGCACTGCCCACTCCGTGCGTAACGGCATCTGCACACATCAGCGCATCTCTTCTCCTCTCCCTCTCGCCCTTTTCCCCCCCCCTTCCTCCTCTGCTCCCTTCCCCCCCTTCACCCTCTCCCTCTCCCCCTCCCCCCAGGTGGAGCGGGCGCACAACGCGGACGTGCACTGTGTGGACTGGTCGCGCCTGGACGACAGCTACGTGCTCACGGGGTCGGCAGACCACTCCGTGCGCCTCTTCGACCGCCGCAAGCTGCCCACCGCGGGCCACTGCGCGGCCGTGCACTCTTTCAAGCTCCACTCCGACGCTGTCACCTGTGTGCAGGTACCTGCCGTGCTGCTAGGGGGCCCTTGCCGTGCCTGCTGCATGCACGTGTGGGCTTGGTGCTGCATTGGCGAGTGCCGTGAGTTCCTCAGCGGAGTACCTGCCGTGACACTCAGACCAGGCGAGGGTGGGAGGGCAGCGATGGGAGGAGGGAGGGATGGGAGTGTTGTGTACGCAATTCAGAGCACTGGGCTGAGCCTGCACCAGCATTCGCAAGTACCCTCTCGAGCGTGTTGCACCTCCTAACTCCACCCCGTGCCCCTCGCCCTCGCCCCCCCCCCGTTCCCTCTCCCACTCCCCCCCCCCTCTCTCCCCTTGGCAGTGGCACCCGTCAGCGCGGGGTGTGTTTGGCAGTGCGGGGGACGACGGGCTGATCCAGGTGACAGACGCGTCGCACCTCCTGGGGGCAGCGGGCGACAAGGCGGGTGGGGGGGCAGCACAGGGCCGGCAGAGCAACATGTTCCAGCACCTGGGGCACCGGTGAGGGGGCAGCGCACAGGGGCCACAGAGGGAAGGACGCAGGGAACAAGGAGTGGGCAAGGATGGGATGTGAGGCAGAGGGAAGGGATGTGTGATGGGTTGTTTGGAAGCTGGATGTTAGAGGAGGGTGGGCCGTGTTGGTGTCTATCTGTAGTCCCCCCTTCTCTCTCTCTCTCTCTCTCACTCCTGTTCTCGCCTGCCCCTCACTCCCTTGACTGCCCTTGTGGTGTGCAGGGAGAAAGTGTGTGAGTTCCACTGGAACCCCCATCGGCCCTGGACTGTGATCAGCACATCCATTGACTCGGGCCGGATAGGAGGAGGCACCCTGCAGGTGGGTATGCGTCCATGCATGCTGCCTGAAAGAGTAATGGCTGTTGGCCATGCACATGTATGTGAGATTTATCTAGTGAATTCCATGTTGGCTGTGCTCTTAAAGCGAGGATCTCAAGAAGCGCGAAACCAACTCCAAAAGGTTTGGTTTCAGGTTGGTGAAATGAGCGAAACAGTAACAGCGGCCCCCCAACACCCCTCACCACACCTCGCAATTTTCGCGACCCCCCGAAACCAAAACCTTTGGGTTAGGTCTTTGCTTCTTGAGATGCTCGCTTTAATTTCCGTGTGATCCTTCGCTACGCTCCCCCCTGCACCTCCCCCTCTCCCTCCCCCCCTCCCTCGTGCCCCATTCCTCTGTCTTGCTTACCCTCTCTCACACCCTCGCTCTCACACACACCCTTGCTGCATCAGGTGTGGCGTATGCATGACTATTTGTATCTCCCAGAAGATGAGGCACTGAAGAAAATTGAAGGCATGCTTGGCTCGACATTAAGCAAGTAACTGCTGACAAGATCTCTAGTGAGATATTTTAATTGCTAATTTTGGATTGAATCCAGTGGTGCTAGTGGTATGTAGCTGTATGCCTTTTATTTTGCTTGAAGCAATAATGTTTACCAATATTGGTCAGTGTTGGAAATATCTCGAGGACTTGAGTGCTTTTGCAGTGTGACACTACACTCGAGGAAAGTCGTATCTGGTACGCGAATCAGCGGAGGTTACACGAGGAGGTTGGACGAAAGAATACGAAAGGACGAAGGAACTCGAAGGATCGTAACCAGAGGTTGCGATTGACAGTTGCGACTGCAAGGATGGTAACCGGACCGACAATCGAGTCGCGTTCCATCAAGTGTATTTGTTATGAATAATAACTCAGAGTGCGCGGAATAATAATGACGAGTACAAGAAGGATAGCCTAGCCTTATATAGCGAGTGCTCTAGCTAGGCGACGAGCCCGGAGGGCTAGGTTGGGTACAGGCGCGGTCGAAAGGGTCGGAGGCGGCGCTGGCGTGCCTCGGGGCCGCGTCAGAAACGGACCGAGCCTGGTCTGCCGAGAGTTCGGGTGTACGCGATTGCAGTACAACCCGGTAAGGAATAAAATTCCTTACACTACCCCCCCCCCTAAGGAAGGTGATCAACATCGGTAACGCCTTTTCGGATCAAATAAGATTTGAACACCGAGTGTTCGTGAAGCGAGTCGGAAGGGACCCAGGTGTCGTCTTCGCTTGTACGGTCAACCCAGCGGACAAGAAAATCCACGTGGCGACCAGTGGAGTCGAGGCGGACGCGATGACTCAAAAGCCGGAAAGGCTCAAGTGTCGGTTCAACCATCGGGCGGACACTTGGGGCGGCCGCTGGGCGTGCGACTGCAGACGTGCTGGCGACGTAGGGACGAAGCAGGCTGACGTGGAACGCGTCGTGAATGCGCCACTCGTCCGGAAGTAATAATTTCGCTGTGACAGGTGTCACCATCTTGACAATACGAAAAGGTCCACAGAATCGCGGGCGAAGTTTTGAAGGCAGGGGCAGGCGAAGGTTCTTTGTGTCGAGAAGGACTAGTTGCCCTGCAGCCATGGTGATATCGCGGCGATGAAGATCTGTGTAGCGGCGGGCGGTTGTGTTGGACTTGCGAATGAATTCGATCGCTTTTTCGCGGGCCGCCTGCAAACTGTTCACGAACTGCTGGGAACGTGGCACTGGGTTGTCGATGTTGGTAGTCGTCGGGACTGTCGGATCCATGCCGTAGTTTAGAAAAAACGGCGAGTGATTAGTCGTGGCGGATGGGGCATTGTTGTACGAAAATTCCAGCATGGGCAGGAATTCTTCCCACAGGGCAGGATCCGGGCAGTTGGTGCGTATCAGCTGCTCCATAGTTTGATTGGTTCGCTCTGTCTGTCCGTCGGTTTGAGGATGGTAGGCGGAGGAAAACTGGAGGCGTGTGCCGTACTGCCCCCATGTCTCCTGCCAGAACTTGGACGTGAATTTTGGGTCGCGGTCGCTGATGATCGCTGGGGGTATGCCGTGCAGGCGAACAACGGTGGAGATGAAAAGCTTCGCTGTATCTTCGGCTGTGATTGTTGTGCGACAGGGTGCGAAGTGTGCCATCTTCGTCAGACGATCGACGACGACCAGGACGGCGTCGTTGCTCGTGGCGGCGGCTGGGAGCCCCGTGACAAAGTCCATCGTTACATGTTGCCATGGTCGCTGGGGTGGCTCGAGCGGTTGCAGCAGTCCAGCTGGCCGCCGTCGGGAAGACTTCATTCGTTGGCAGATCGGGCACGCGGATACGTATCTCTGCACATCAGGCGCCGAATCAGGCCAATAATAAAAACGGTGAAGTAACTTCTGGGTTTTATCAACCCCAAAATGACCGGAGAGGTTAGAATCGTGGACTTCTTGAATAAGTAATTCGCGGAGGAGTTTGTAGGCGGGAACCCAGATGCGGTCAGTACCGGCTTTTAGAAAGTAGGGTCCTTTGGCTGTGGTGGCTTGTTGGTGGTGGTTGCGGGTGAAAAAGGGGTCTGTGGTATAGCCGTGGGTAAATAGGCCAGTGAGCAGCGGGTTGGATTTTGCGACGATGATTGAGGCGAGGTGGGCGGATGGTCTTGTTAGCGCGTCAGCGATGTTATTGGCTCCCCGTTTGTACGTGATGGTGTAGTGGAAGTTGCTTTCGAGGAAGTCCAGCCAGCGAATCTGCCGTGGATTTAGATTCGGCTGCGCGCGGAGGTACTGTAGGGATTTATGGTCTGTCCGTACTGTCACGTCGGCTCCCGTCAAGTAGCATCGCCACACCTTGAATGCGTGCACGATGGCGAGCATTTCTTTGTCGTGGACGGGGTAGTTGCGCTCGGCTGCCTGCAACTTCCGAGACTCATACGCGATGGGTTGGAGTCCGTCGCCGAAATCTTGTAACAGTATCGCACCGATGGCGAAATCGTTAGCGTCCGTCAAGACTTCGAATGGTCGAGATGGGTCGGCGATTCGGAGGACCGGGGGCGACGTCAGAGAATTTCGCAGTTCATCGAAAGCAGTCTGCTGTCTCTCCCCCCATTCAAACAAACTGCCCTTCCGCAGTAGGTCAGTTAACGGTTCGGTTATCCCTGCCATATTGGGGATAAACCTCCGGACATAATTAACGAACCCGAGAAAACTCTGCAGCTCCTGTAAATTCGTCGGCGGCTTCCAGTCGCGAATCGCTGTGATTTTTTTCGGGTCGATTTTTATGCCGTCCGCTCCCACGACATGTCCCAAAAATTCCAGTTCGGATTTTAGGAACTCGCACTTGGAGCCCTTCGTGATGAGCCGGTTTGCTTGCAGCCGCCGGAAAACTTGCTCAAGGTCCTTGAGGTGCTGTTCCTGTGTCTTGCTGTAGATCAGAATGTCATCAAGATAGACGATGACACACTTGTCGAGCAGGTCTCGGAATACGCCGTTCATGGTGAGTTGGAAAGTGGAGGGCGCGTTCGTGAGGCCAAACGGCATCACTGTGTACGCGTAGCTGCCATAGCGGGTTCGGAACGCCGTCTTGTGGCAGTCGTCAGCGAAGACTCGGATCTGATGGTAACCGCCGCGTAAGTCGATTTTCGAGAAGAAGCGAGCTCCGCGAAGTTGATCGAGAAGATCGTCCCCGCGTGGGATTGGGTAGCGGGACTTGATTGTTCGTCGATTTAGCGCCCTGTAGTCGATGCACATTCGCAGCCCGCCGTCTTTTTTGGGCGTGAACAGGATGGGTGCTGCGAACAGGGAGGTGCTGGGCCGAATGAACCCCTTCTCCAAGAGGTAGTCCAGTTGGCTTCGCAACTCCGTGAGCTCCGGCTGAGTCAGCCGCCACTGGGTCCTGACTGTAGGCTGCGCGCCGGGTTCCAGGTCAATTTTGTGGTCCTGGGGGCGCTCGGGTGGCAGTCCTGCTGGCAGATCGTCCGGAAAAATATCCGAGTACTGTCGAATCAGCGCGGCGAGCTCGACAGGGACACTGGCACAAAGTGTGTCAATGTCCTTTGGCGTGTCGTCGACCGTCGCGTCGGCCAGGTGGACGGCGTACAAGTCAGCTCCTTTTTTAACCGCTCGCTGGAAGGTGATGGCGTTGACACGTGTCGACACCGGATCTCTCCCACGCCAGCTTGGAAGTACGCGCCACCCGTTCGCACAGTGTACGCTGCATTCGCCAGTTGTCCAGTCGACCCTCGGATTGTATTTTCGCAGCCAATCACGCCCAAGCAGAATGTCGCAGCCGTCCAGCGTCGTGGCCAGCATGGGCATGCTGAATCCGAAGTCGTCGCCACACTTCATCCGCACCATGCGCGCTCGTTCTCTAATTGCAAGTGGAGTTCCGTCCACCAGTCGCGCGTCGATTTCGGGAAGACATTTTTCCAACGTCAGCTTCAATTGCTTCGCTGTTGTCACGTGTATGAGACTGTGACTAGCTCCGCCATCCACAAATAACTTTATTTTTTTGCCGTTAACCTTGCCTTCTACCAGCACAGGGTGATCTTCAGGTTCGCTCCCGTTATTCGTCCGAGTGCGGTCGATAGCGTGTATCGGTACCACAACTTGGTGGGAACGCTGAAGTTCGGGCGACAAAGCCTCGTCAGTAGGGGGCCCGTCTGCTACTGACTTTTCCCATTTCCCGGCTTCTCCTTGTCGTTCTTCGTCTTCTTGGGCGCCGTCGGGCAGTACTTAGCTCGGTGACCTGGCTTGTCACATCGAAAACATAGCCCGTGAAATATTTCATCGGGCGCTGACACGCCATTGATCGTGGGGCGGGGAGACTGTCCACGAAAACGACCAACATCCCTGTTGTTCTTTCTCGCCCACTGCTGCAGTGCATCGGCTGCTGACGCCAGCTGGACGGCTTCATCGAACGTCTTGGGACGGGACCGCTGCAACTCGTATTGAATATCGAAATGCAGCCCGCTAACGTATTTGTCCCGTCTTTCCGCTTCGCTGAGGTCGTCGACTTGGTCCGCAAGTGCAGAGAACGACGCAGTGTAATCTTGAACAGTAGTCACCTGCCGCCAGTTGCGCAGCTTCATACGAGCGTCGTCTGAGGCGGATGAATGCTCAAAACGAGCTCGCAGAGCTGTGCCCCACTGTTTCCACGTGCGAATCGTGGTCGTACCGAATATTGTTTCTGCCTGTTGGTTTGAAGAGTCCGAAGTCCCGTCCTTCGCCTGCTTCACTCCTGCCGGAGTCCCAATCGCCAACTGTCGTCGCCACCAATCCAACGCCGGTCCTCGGAGCAGCGACACGGCATAATTAATGCGCGCATCATCAGTGTGCACACTTGCCGCCGTGAAGAACAGCTCCATGCTGAACAGCCACCCTTGCACCGTCGTCGCCTTGTCCGAAGGGTTGAACGGGGGCGGTGTTGCTGGCTTGAGTTTAATCTTCATTACGGTCACAGTACGCACGTCGTCTTGCTCCAACTCCCGTGCGAGCTCGTCAAGGACGGTTTCGCTCGCTGCGTCGTCGGCACTTTGTTTGACCTCGTCTTCGGCGACTCCAGGCGACTCCTGACGCGCTTCACCACGCGTCTGGCGAAGCTCGGTGTTCTCCGTCCGAAGTCTCACGACTTCACTGTTCAAACTCGCCATCTGGGCTTGCATTGCCTGCATCTGAGCCATGACCTCGTCTAGCTGGGCCTGGG